TATATATGCATCTCTGACCGACCAGTTTTGTGCTCCGGCCGACCACCACTAGCTGGTCACCTGTTATATGCAAATTTTATAGCTCCATGAGATTGCAAATGAAAACATTTTGTATCCATCATCTTAAATAAATATAGTAATTACTCTTTACTTGCAAAAATCTAAAATTATTGATTGAACTTTCTTTTCTATATCTAATCTAGTTTAACTCAATAAAAGTTTATTTTATTTGATTTTGAAGAAACCTAACTACACAAAGGACCCATCTTTCCGTTCTTAATATATGAATTAATATAAAAATGCTTTAGAGATGGATCAAAACCACTACTTTATTAACTCTATAGCAGTCTTCAACTTCAAAGAGGTTAATATTACTTTCTTTATTGCTTGTTCTATTATACATGTGTATTATAGTTTTTAGTATTTCAATGTAAGAGTACAAGTCAAGACTCAAAGAGCTCAAGGAGTTCAAGCATTCCGGAAGTCACTCGACATTCGAGGAACTTGAACCCGAATAACAAAACTGACATCTGATCGGTAATAAGGTCCAGTCAGGGGACTTTCCTCACCTTATGCCTAAGTCGCACAGCTTTGATCGGACAAACGTCCAGAGATGGTTCCCTGCTCAGTAGCGACAAGTTTCGGGAAGGGTATGTTAATGATCATCTTGGAGAACAGTTTAGACAACCTCCTACGATAGAGAAGGGACCTAACCTAAGACAAAGGTCCATTCAATTAACTAAGACCTACAAAAGTGAAGGATTAGAACCCAACTTCGACGCACCAAACATATACCGGTTACGATGTAAGCCACCCAAACAAATATAAGCAGCAGCCGTGACATCAAGATCGTTTGATTGAACCCACAAGCCATTTGACCAAACAAAAGTGGTCGGTTGTGATGTCAAGATCGTCCGATCGGACCCACAAATACAAACGGTCCGCTGTGTCATCAAGATTAACCGATTAGACCCACTAGCTATCCAACCAAATGAAGACGGTCGGGCGTGAAGCCAAAATCATCTAGCCGAACCTCGACTAACATACTGAAAATTTTCAAATCCCCGAAAATGATCTTTTACCCGAAAGCGACAAGCTCGTGAGGGGTAATAGGTAAATCATCTCGAGAGTTCATCCAGTGACTAATCGATTAACATGGAGTAACATTAGCAATTCATGTGCTTATATTTTGCTTTATAAATTTCATTATCCTTATCATAGTTGTCGTTATCAAAAGAGCAAGATAATTAAAGAGTTTAATATGTACATCAAAAAATAGTATGTATGAATCACATGATAATTTAATGGTTCATATAAGAAGACTAAAATAACCTATTGTACCCTCCTTAAAGCAAGCGTAAAGATGTAATGTTATATTTCTCCTATTTTTATCTTCTATAAAAAAAGAAACTATGGCATGTGGGCTCTTGGTCTCTCCTCTCTCAATCCCCCATGTAGAGAGAACTCTCTCATTTTCCTCTCTCTTAATCAACCTTTTCAGTGGAATAAAAGAGGCTAAAAAGCCCAGGAACACCCCTCTTTGTTCTGATGGGGCAAGTCTTCCTCTTACTCTACCTCAATCAACATGCTCTATTACTTGGGCATGATCAAACATTTTGGATTCAACATAAATACATATGAACTAATTGGTATGTATGTAAATCTTCCTTGCATTTTAACATATTTAATTGCCAGTAGTTTTTTATGGTAGAAAATTAAAAAAAAGGCAAAAAAATAGTTCCACAATTAGAGTCCGGCCGACCACCACTAGCTGGTCACCTGTTATATGCAAATTTTATAGCTCCATGAGATTGCAAATGAAAACATTTTGTATCCATCATCTTAAATAAATATAGTAATTACTCTTTACTTGCAAAAATCTAAAATTATTGATTGAACTTTCTTTTCTATATCTAATCTAGTTTAACTCAATAAAAGTTTATTTTATTTGATTTTGAAGAAACCTAACTACACAAAGGACCCATCTTTCCGTTCTTAATATATGAATTAATATAAAAATGCTTTAGAGATGGATCAAAACCACTACTTTATTAACTCTATAGCAGTCTTCAACTTCAAAGAGGTTAATATTACTTTCTTTATTGCTTGTTCTATTATACATGTGTATTATAATTTTTGGTATTTCAATGTAAGAGTACAAGTCAAGACTCAAAGAGCTCAAGGAGTTCAAGCATTCCGGAAGTCACTCGACATTCGAGGAACTTGAACCCGAATAACAACATAATGGACATCTGATCGGTAATAAGGGCCAGCCAGAGGACTTTCCCCATCTTATGCTTAAGTCCCTTAGTTTTGATCGGACAAACGTCCAGAGATGGTTCCCTGCTCAGTAGCGACAAGTTTCGGGAAGGGAATGTTAATGATCGTTAATGACCATCTCGGAGAAGAGTTTAGATAACCTCCTACGATAGAGAAGGGACCTAACATAAGACAAAGGTCCAATCAATTAACTAGGACCCACAAAAGTGAAGGATTAGAACCCAGCTTTAATGCACCGAACATATACCGGCTACGACGTAAGCCACCCAAACAAATATAAGCGATCAGCCGTGACATCAAGATCATCTTATTTAACCCACAAGCCCTTTGAACAAACAAAAGTGGTCGGTTGTGATGTCAAGGTCGTCCGACCGAACCCACAAATACAAACTGTCAGCCGTGTCATCAAGATTAACTGACTAGACCCACTAGCTATCCAACCAAATGAAGACGGTCGGACGGGAAGCCAATATCATCTAGCCGAACCTTGACTAACATATTAAAAATTTTCAAATCCCCGAAAATGATCTTTTACCCGAAAGCGACAAGCTCGTGAGGGGTAATAGGTAAATCATCTCGAGAGTTCATCCAGTGACTAATCGATTAACATGGAGTAACATTAGCAATTCATGTGCTTATATTTTGCTTTATAAATTTCATTATCCTTATCATAGTTGTCGTTATCAAAAGAGCAAGATAATTAAAGAGCTTAATATGTACACAAAAAAATAGTATGCATGAAACTCATGACAATCTAATGGTTCATATAAGAAGACTAAAATAACCTATTGTACCCTCCTTAAAGCAAGCGTAAAGATGTAATGTTATATTTCTCCTATTTTTATCTTCTATAAAAAAAGAAACTATGGCATGTGG